ATTCTGGTGGTTTGCTGACAATCTTTAGCATTCCTTGCCTTGTGTCACCCATGGCCTCTGCCTTCACTTTCACATGGCATTCTCGCTGTGTATGTGTTTCTGTCCAAATTTCCCCTTTTTCTAAGGACATTAGTCATACTGGATTAGGGCCTACCCATATGACCTCAGCTTAACTAATTACACCTACAATGACCCTATTTCCAAATAAGATCACATTCTGAGTTGCTGGGGGTTAGAGCTTAAACATGAATTTTGGAGGGGGACACAGTTCAACTCAGGACATCTCCCCTGCTATTACCTTGCTGTAGGCCACTATCATCTCTCATTTGATGACTGATAACAATCTAACAGATGTCCCTATTTCACTCTTAAACCCTCCCACAACTATTTTCTACAAAAGCAATAAGACTGATTTTTTTTTTTTTAAAAACATCTATCATATCACTCCTCTTTTCTCATTAGTTACTTCTATTGCACTTAGAGAAAATCTAAGCTTCCTATCATGGCCTACAAGATTCTTATTATCTGGTTCTTGCCCATCTCTCCAAATTCATCTTGTGCCACTCTTTTCTTACTACTCTTCAGCCAAATTGGTCTTTTTTTTTTTTTTTCAGGCCATCCAATATGCCAAACTCTTTGCTCCCTCAGGGCCTTTGCACATAACAATACCTTTATCTGAAATGTTTTTCTTTCCTCCCTTTGCATAAGCTCTTTCTCATCCTCCAAGTCTCTATAGAAATGTCACCTACCTCAGAGAAGCTTTCTCCCTTACTACCCTAGCTGAAGTTGCTTCTCTTTCCTCAATTATTGTCTCAGTCTTTTGTTTCTTCTACAAATTTTTTTTCTGATTTTTTTTCTTGTCCTTTTCCCTCCTGCTCTGCTGTAAACTGAATCAGATTACCGTGTTCATCCTTGTATCCCTAATGCCTAGGAAGAAGAACATGTTCAAAGAGTATTTGCTGAATGAATGTATATCCCCAAGAACATAGCTTGATACCTAGTGCTGATTAAATACTTAATAAACGTTTGTAGAATGAATGTATGAATAAATTTCAGTCTTGACAGCCCAGCATCATGTTAAGATCTACCTTGCTATATGTAAATAAATATGTTATTTGTGATACGTGGAGTCTCTGAAGGATATGAACTTGACAGATGTGTTTTTCATACCGGGAGTTTAGGTCATTCAGGTAGGGAAATTGTTGCCAGGGACTTGTAGCTTTTTCTTTTCTTTGCAGCTGGCTAATCTCCTTCAGAATCAGGCAGTGAAAGGAAAAGCTGCTGGAGCACTCCTGAGAGCCATCTTCAAAGGTAATAATAATGCCACTTCTGTCTCTCTGGATTCATTGGTATATTTGTTTACTTTGGGCGCATATTGATACTTTTCTTACTGTTTGATGCCCCACTGAGACTTTTCTGTTTGAGGGATTTTACAGAATCACCTAAAGCAGCAGTCTTCTGTCTTGTGGACTTAAATAATTTTGCTAAAGGGGGTTGAAGTGGCTACCTGAGATTGTATTGCTGGTTTTGGAGCCTGTAAAGGATGCACATCATAAAATCCACTTTGATTTATTTGTGCTTTTAAAATTGTGGAGAAGAGGACTTCCCTGGTGGTCCAGTGGTTAAGACTCCATGCTTCCACTGCAGGGGGCACGGGTTCTATCCCTAGTCGGGGAAGTTCTGCATGCCCTGCGGTGTAGCCAAAAAAAAAATTGTGGAGAAGAGAGCAGCAATGTTTAATAGTTAATCTGTGCTTAACAAAAGAGGCTAGGGTGCTCTGAGTTTTAATGAAATGGAGTATCTTAGGTGACTTATGTAGAGATTCTTAATTCCCAGTGGGGCATATTTTTATTCCATATCTTGAACAAGGGCCAGTTCTACATTGTTGCTGGTTGTGACTCATAGTTGTTTTATAAATTGTAGTAGAATAAAATTCTACAAGCAAAAATTAAAAGTTGCTTTACACTCTTAGCAGGTTATTTTAACTTGGTTTATTTTTCTTACCCCCTCGAGTAAATTGTGTCTATCCTTGCAAGGGTTCAAAAACACATCTTCCTATGCATGAAAAAAAATTTTTTTTTTAACATCTTTATTGGGGTATAATTGCTTTACAATGGTGTGTAAGTTTCTGCTTTCTAACAGAGTGAATCAGTTATACATATGTTCCTATATCTCTTCCCTCTTGCGTCTCCCTCCTTCCCACCCCTCTAGGTGGTCACAAAGTACCGAGCTGATCTCCCTGTGCTATGCGGCTGCTTCCCACTAGCTATCTGTTTTACGTTTGGTAGTGTATATATGTCCATGCCACTCTCTCACTTTGTCACAGTTTACCCTTCCCCCTCCCCATATCCTCAAGTCCATTCTCTAGTAGGTCTGTATCTTTATTCCTGTCTTACCCCTAGGTTCTTCATGACTTTTTATTTCTTAGATTCCATATATGTGTTAGCATACGGTATTTTTCTCTTTCTGACTTACTTGACTCTGTATGATAGACTCTAGGTCCATCCACCTCACTACAAATAACTCAATTTCATTTCTTTTTATGGCTGAGTAATATTCCATTGTATATATGTGCCACATCTTTATCCATTCATCCGATGATGGACATTTAGGTTGCTTCCATCTCCTGGCTATTGTAAATAGAGCTGCAATGAACATTTTGGTACATGACTCTTTCTGAATTATGGTTTTCTCTGGGTATATGCCCAGTAGTGGGATTGCTGGGTCATACGGTAGTTCTATTTGGAGTTTTTTAAGGAACCTCCATACTGTTCTCCATAGTGGCTGTACTAATTCACATCCCCACCAGCAGTGCAAGAGTGTTCCCTTTTCTCCACACCCTCTCCAGCATTTATTGTTTGTAGATTTTGTTTGTTTGTTTGTTTTTGTTTTGTTTTGTTTTATTTTGCGGTACAGTACGTGGGCCTCTCACTGTTGTGGCCTCTCCCATTGCGGAGCAACAGGCTCCGGATGCACAGGCTCAGCGGCCATGGCTCACGGGTGCAGCCGCTCCGCAGCATGTGGGATCCTCCTGGACCGGGGCACGAACCCGCGTCCCCTGAATCGGCAGGCGGACTCTCAGCCACTGTGCCACCAGGGAAGCCCCATGTTTGTAGATTTTTTGATGATGGCCATTCTGACCAGTGTGAGGTGATACCTCATTGTAGTTTTGATTTGCATTTTTGTAATGATTAATGATGTTGAGCATTCTTTCATGTGTTTGTTGGCAATCTGTATATCTTCTTTGGAGAAATGTCTATTCAAATCCTTTTAAAAATTGGGTTGTCTTTTTATTACTGAGTTCTAATATTTCTTTAAATATTCTGGATACAAGTCCCTTATTAGATATATGATTCACAAATTTTTTCTCCCATTCTGGTTGTCTTTGCACTTTTTTGATGGTATCGTTTTATGCACAAAATTTTAAATTTTGATGCCTAATACTTAATTTTTTTGTAGCTTGTGCTTTTAGTTTTATATCTAAGAAGTCATTGCTTAATCCAAAGTCACAAAGATTTATACCTGTGTTTTCTTTTCAAAGTTTTATAGCTTTAGCTTTTAAATTTAGATTTTTGATCCATTTTTAGTTAATTTTTGTATATGGTGTGAGGTAGGAGTCCAGCTTCATCTTTCCCCATTTTCAATAGCACCCTTATTGAAAATCAATTGCCCATAAATGTGACGGTTTCTTTTTGGACTCACAGTTGTATTGCCTTGATCTAGGTGTCTCTCCTTATGTCAGTACCACACTGTCCTGATTAGAATAGCTTTGTAGTAAGCTTTAAAATTGGGAAGTGTGAGTCCTCTAACTTTTTTTTTTTTTAGGATTAGTTTGGATATTCTGGGTTCCTTGAGTTTCCATATGACAAGATTAGCTTGTCAATTTCTACAAAAATGGAAGCTGGGGTTTTGGTAGTGATTTTGTTGACTCTGTATATGAATTTGAAAAGTATTGCTATCTTAATATGTCTTCCATTAATGAACATGGAATATCTTTCCATTTACTTAGGTCCTCTTTCATTTCTTTCAACAGTATTTTGTACTTTTCAGAGTACAAGTCTTATACTACTTTTATTAATTTATTCCTGAGTATTTTATTCTTTTTGGTGTGATTGTAAATGGGATTGTTTTCTTAATTTAATGTTCTCAGTGTTCATTGCTAGTGTATAGAAATGCAATAGACTTTTGTATATTGATCTCATATCTTGCTACCTTCCTGTACTTGTTTATTAGTGCTAGTAGTTTCTTCTTTGTGGATTCCTTATAAACAAGATTATGTCATCTGTGAATAGATACTTTATTTCTATTTCAATCTAGATGCCTTTTGTTATTTTTCTTACCTAATTACCCCAGTTGGAACCTCCAGTAGAATAGAATTGGTGAGAGTAAATATCCTTCTCTTGTTCCTGATCTCAGGGAAATCTTTCAGTTTTATATTATTGAGTGTGATGTTAGCTGTGGGTTTTGCATGGATGCCCTTTATCAGGTTAAGGAAGTTCCTTTCTATTCTTAGTTTGTTGAGTGTTTTTTATCATGAAAAGGTATTGGAATTTTCAAATGCTTTTTCTGTGTCTACTGAGGTGATCATGTGGTTTTTATCCTTTACTCTGTTTCTGTGGTATATTATATTGATTTTCATACGTTGAACCACTCTCTCGTATTCTTGGGTTAAATCCAGTTTGGTTATAGAGTATAATCCTTTTTAAAATGTTGCTGGGTTCAGTTTGCTAGTATATTGTTGAGGATTTTTGCATCTGTAGTCACAAGGGATACTGTTCATAGTTTTCTTAGGATGTCTTTGTCTGGTTTAGGTATGAAGATAATAGTGGCCTTGTAGAATGAGTTGGGAAATGTTTCCTCTTCTTTTTTTTGGAAGAGTTTGTGAAGGGTTGCAGTTAATTCTTTATATGTTTCGTGAATTCACCAGGGAAGCCATCTGGGTTTGGGCTTTTCTTTGTAGAAGGGTTTTGATTGCTAATTCAGTCTCTTTATTTATAGGTCTGTTGTGGTTTTCTATTATCTTTTTTAGTCAGCTTTGATACTTGGTGTCTTTATAACAATTTATCCATTTCATATAAGTTTTGTAATTTATTGGTATACAGTTATTTATTGTATTACCTTATTCTTTTTATTTCTGTAAGATTGGTAGTAATGCCCCTCTTTCATTCCTGATTTTAGTAATTTGATTCTTCTCTTTTTTCTTGGTCAGTCTGAAGATTTTTCAATTTTGTTGATCTTTTCAAAGAATAAGCTTTGGTTTTCTTGATTTTTCTCTATTCTCTTTCATTTATGTCATTTTACTTTTATATTCTTTTCACTTGCTTTGAGTTTAGTTTCCTCTTTTTATAATTTCTTATGGTGGAAGATTGGGTTATTGATTTGAGATCTTATTTTTTAATATAGGTATTTACAACTATAGATTTTGTTCTAAGCACTACTTTAGCTGTATCCAATAGCTTTTGGAATGTTGTGTTTTTGTTTTCATTCATCTCAAGGTATTTTTCTAATTTCTCTGTGCTTTCTTCTTTGACCCATTGGTATTTAAGATTATGTTAATTTCCACATATTTGTGAATTTTCCAGATTCCTTCTGTTATTGATTTCTAGTTTCATTCCACTGTGGTCACAGAACATAAATGATATGATTATAATCCTTTTAAATTTATTGAGAATTTTTTTATGGCCTAATGTGTGGTTTATCCTGGAGAATGCTCCATATGCACTTGTGAAGAATGTGTCTTCTGTTGTGTGTAGTGTTCTATATAGATGTTTGTTAGATCTGGTGTGTTCAAGTCTATTTCCTTGTTGATCTTCTAATTGTTGTTCTGTTGATTATTGGAAGTGGCATGTTGAAGTCTCCAACCTTTGTTGAATTGTCTATTTTACCCTTCAGTTCTGTTAGTTTTTGCTTTGTGTATTTTGGAACTCTTTTGTTAGGTGCTTATATGTTTATAATTGTTATGCCTTGATTCTTTTATCATTATAAAATGCCCTTTTTTGTCTTTAATAGTAATTTTTGTCTTAAAGTCTACTTCTGTTATTCTTAGAGCTACTTCAGCGCTCTTTGGTTACTGTTTTCATGGTATATCTTTTCTAAACAATTTGTATCTTTGAATCTAAATTGTGTCTCTGATTGACAGCACATAATTGGATTTTTAAAAATCTGTTCTGGCCCAATCTTTATCCTTTTTTTTAATAAATCTATTTATTTTATTTATTTTTGGCTGCGTTGGGTCTTTGTTGCTGTGCACAGGCTTTCTCTAGTGCAGTGAGCAGGGGCTACTCCTTGTTTTGCACGGGTTTCTCATTGTGGTGGCTTCTCTTGTTGCGGAGCATGGGCCTTAGGCACACAGGCTTCAGTAGTTGTGGCTCGTGGGCTTAGTTGCTCTGCAGCATGTGGGATCTTCCCGGACCAGGGATTGAACCCATGTCCCCTGCACTGGCAAGCAGCTTCTTAACCACTGCTCCACCAGAGAAGTCCCAGTCTTTGCCTTTTGATTGGAGTATCTAATCCCTTTACATTTACCATAATTGCTAAAAAAGTAGGACTGATATCTGCCGTTTTGCTGTTTGTTTTCTTTACGTTGTGTCTTCTTGTTCCTCTGTTAATACCTTGCGTGTTATATGTTAAGTAGGTGTTTTCTAGTGTACCATTTTAATTCCTTTGTAATCTTTTTCACAGTTTTTTTCAGTTACTTTCTTAGTGCTTGCCTTGGCGATTAGAACTGACATCTTAACACATTATTGACCGGAGACATATCAATACATTTTTAGAGAGTGCTACAATTAACATCACCGTGAGAAGTTGTTAGAGCTTGAAATTGATCAAGGGTTCATTATACAACTTAAGATTGTCATTATCATTCACATTTTGCTCCGTTTGGTTTTTGCTTCAATCTTGTCTATATTATAAATGTAAAATTTTCAAAAGTGGCACATCTTGAAATTTTGAGTGAAAAAATTTTTGGTGAACTTTATGCAGGTACTTTCTCTGATTGTCCAAGTGATATATATACTAGTGTCTCAGAAGATGATAGTTCTTAAGAATATAATTCTGATTCAGACGATGTGAGTATTAGACCAACAAAGAGACAAAAAACCTTAGTGATTGATTCTGATACAGAAAGTGAAAATGAAATTCATGGTGCAGGAGAATGCTCCTTTGCTTTTACAGAAGAGTGGCTTGAAGACAACATTTAACAAAAAGTAGAAGACTTTACAGGTGTGTCAGGTCTAACTATTGAATGTAATAACCCACAAAGTGTTACTGAAATAACAGAATTAATTGTTTGGCCGGCCAAAATAAAAATCACCGGCCACATGCATTAGTTTCTGCAAAAACTTCCCTGGGCAATAATGAGTTAGTTTGTAACAATCTAGTTCAGATTAATACCAGCTTAGATTTAATAGTTATAAAACTTTGCTCTACATATAGCTTCATTCTCCCCCTTCCTCCTTTGTGCTATTATTGTCCTATAAATTACATCTTTACACATTTATTCTCACCAATGCAGATTTATAATTGTTGTTTTATATAGGTGTCTTATAAATCAGATAGGAGAAAAAATAATTACAAAGTACATTTATACTGTCTTTCATATTTTCCTATGTAGTTACCTTTACTGATGTTCTCTATTTCATGTGGATTCAAATTACTGTCTGGTGTTCTTTCATTCCAGCCTGAAAGACTCCCTTTAGCATTAGGGCAGGTCTTCTGGCAGCAAATTCTCTTTTGTTTATCTGGGAATGTCTTAATTTCTCCATTTTGGAGGGATAGTTTTTCTGGCTATAGAGTTCTTGGTTGACAGTTTTGGAGGGATAGTTTTTCTGGCTGTTGAGTTCTTTCAGTACTTTGACTATGTTCTCCCATTTCCTTCTGCCCTTCAATGATTTTTTAAAATGAGAAATCAGCTGTTAATAGTATTGAGTACTCCTTTTACCAGATGAGTTTCTTCTCTTTTGTTGCTTTCAATATTCTCTTCTTGTCTTTAACTTTTTTATTTAACTGTACAGTTCAGTGGCACTAAATGCAATAATTGCTCTATCTAGAACTTCCGGTATTATGTTGAATAGAAGTGGCAAAAGTGGGCATCCTTGTATTTTTCCTATCTTACGGAAAAGTTTTCAATCTTCACTTATTGAGTATGATGTTAAGTGTGGGTTTTTCACATATGGTTTTTTTTATGATGAGGCATCTTTGATTTTGATAGCTTGCTATGGTATGTCTAAATGTGGATCTCTTGGGTTTATCCTGTTTGGAGTTCTTTGAGCTTCTTGAATGTGGGTTTTGTTTGTTTGCTTTGTTTTTTTGGCTGCACTGTGCAGCTTGTGGGCTATTAGTTCCCCGACCAGGATTGAACCTGGGCCCTCGGCAGTGAAAGCACGGAGTCCTAACCTCTGGACTGCCAGGGAATTCACTGCATGTGTAGATTAGTGTTCTCATTAAAATTGGGAAGTTTTTGGCCATTACGTCTTTTTTCTCCTTTCTCTCTTTCCTTTCCTTCTGGGACTTTCAGTTTGTCTGTGTTGGTATTCATGACGGGATCCCGCAGGTCTCTGAAGCTCTGATCATTTTTCTTCTTTTTCTTTCTGTCTCTGAGACTGGATAATCTCAATTGCTCTATCTTCAAGTTCTCTGATCCTTTCTTCTACCAGATCAGATCTCCTGTTGAGCCCCTCTAGTGGATTCTTCAGTTCAATTATTGTACTTTTTAATTCCAGAATTTTTATTTGGTTCTTTTTTATAATTTCTATCTATTGATATTCTCTATTTGGTGAGACATCATTCTTACATTTTCCTTTAGTTCTTTAGACATGGTTTCCTTTTGTTCTTTGAACATATTTAAAATAGCTGATTTCAGTCTTTGTCTAGTAAATCTAATATCTGGGCACTCTCAGGGACGGTTTCTATTGATTCCTTTTTTTCCTGTGTATGGGCCATGCTCTTGTTTCCCTGTATGTTTTTTATTTTTTTGTTGCTGAAAACTGGACATTTTAAATGATATTTTGTGGGAATTCTGGAAATCAGATACCACCCCTCTCCCCCAGATCTGTTGTTGCTGGTGGTGTTGCTTTTGTTTTTATAGTTGTTCTTCTGAACTAATTTTGTAAAATATGTATTGTTGTGTATGGGCACTGTTTTTGTGGCCACTGAAGTCTCTGTTTGGTTAGCTTTGTGGTCAGCTAATGATTTGGCAAAGATTCCTTTAAAATGCCTGGAACCAGTGAGTTTCCCAGCCTTTGCTGAGGGACCCTGTGCATGTCAGGTGCACACCTTCAGTTCTCAGGCAAGTAGCTTATAACTCCTCCTTAGCCCTTCTTGTGCAGAGCCTCTGGATCATCCAGAGGTGAGAGATTAGGGTCCTCTTGGGTGTTGCCTGGCCATACACACAGCCCTTTCTATGTGCACAACCTTAAGTATTTTCATGGCTTCCTAGGTTCCCAGGAATATGTCAGAATGTTTCAAAGTCCCCTCTGCACCTTTCTCCAGACTTATATTTTAAATTCTTTGGTCAGCTTGTTGCATGCCCAACTGTTATTGCTATCCAGGCAGCTGAAAAAGTAATCACTTGCAACTGGTTTAGACAAATGCCCCTCGTAAAAGATTGCACTGGGCGAGTTCTAAGTCAGGTCAAGTAGAGACAAGTCTTGCGAGTGAAAATTTCTAGGGAATGGCCAGACAGGTCAAATAAAGACAGTTATCTGGGAATTGGGCTTTGGTGGCACTCCAGTCATATTCTGTCCCCTCCAGAGGCTGCTAGACTAATGGCTTGTACCATGAGTGTGAACTGTTGTTTTTAAAGACTACTGGACTGGTGGGGGTAGGGGTTAGGAGGTGGAATGAGGGCATGTTGAAACACAACAGAGCTTGCTATTCTCACTTAGATTCAGCTGTTTATCTTAAATAAACTCTCCCTGGATTGTTGGAAGTCTGGTTAATTTCCAGATTTCTGAACAAGTTGGTTTTCACTATTTTTGTTAGTGTTCTAGTTGCTTTTATGGAGGAGAGCATTTTCCGAGGTCTTTATTACTCTACGTTCCT